AATACAAAGATATCTTGCTGAAAATTGCAGTTAATTTGTTGGATAGAGATGTTGAAGCAATTAAATTTTATTATTCAAAACAGATTGGTGATGCTGATCTTGAAAGGATTACAACTCCTATCAAATTAATTCAAATTTTAGAACAGCGTATGGTTTTAGGGATTGATAATTACAGCGTATGGTTTTAGGGATTGATATATATATATATATATATATATATATATATATATATATATATATATATATATATATTATATATATATATATATATATATATATATATATGTATATATATATATGTGTGTGTGTATATATATATATATATATATATATATATATATATATATATATATATATATATATATATATATATATATATATATATATATATATATATATATATATGTATATATATATATGTGTGTGTGTATATATATATATATATATATATATATATATATATATATATATATATATATATATATATATATATATATATATATATATATATATATATATATATATATATATATGTATATATATATATGTGTGTGTGTATATATATATATATATATATATATATATATATATATATATATATATATATATATATATATATATATATATATATATATATATATATATATATATACACACACACATATATATATACATATATATATATATATATATATATATATATATATATATATATATATATATATATATATATATATATATATATATATATATACATATATATATATTATATATATATATATATATATATATATTTATATATATATATATATATATATATATATATATATATATATATATATATATATATATATATATATATATATATATATATATATATATATATATGTTTAAATAGGCTGGTGCTAGGATAACGGGGGTTTGGTTAAAATTTATATTAAGCCAACCTTAAATATTTTAATTAAAAAATGCAGGTGATGATTTTTGTTTATTTTTCACAAGTTTTTCATCAATATTTTAAAAAAATAAATATTAAAAAATCACATACGAAAATTCCTTACTTGTTATAAATTGGGTATTTATTTTTTTATGAAAAGCTACTATATTATTTTCAATTTAATATTCAATCTAAAGATATAAGTAATTATAATTTATTAACTTAAAATAACATAAGTTAATACATCAAATTAAAACCATAATTTAAAAAGTATGCGTACAATACGGAATAACAAAGAAATGATTGAAAATTTTTTTTTTTTTTTGTTAATTTACCTCCTTAATGCTGAGAACATTATGGCCATTACAGACAAGGAGGCTGCTTATTTGTGTGTTTTTTTTTGTTAATTTATCTCCTTAATGCTGAGAACATTATGGCCACTACAGACAAGGAGGCTGCTTATTTGTGGTTATAACCCTCTCTCAAACTTGACCGCTGGCCACTGCGCGTAGAATCGAGTTAAGCGCAGTATTGCCATTTAGTTAAATATATAGAATATTTTATAAAAAATAAAAATGAATTTTTTAATTATTTTTAACAAATTAGGTAGCAAGTACAACTGTTTAAAGAAAAAAAAAATGTTTTTAAAGTTTTGATTTTTTTTGTTTAGTTTTGAAATTTCTTTGTTCATAACAAGTAAAATCAGGGGTGCAGAGTCCCAAATGGGCTCCTGCTTTATATCTCTATTTTTTCCTGTTCTCTGATGTCCCCAAGCTCTAAACAAGTTTGTTGACCTAAGATCTGCTAAAGGAATGAAATTTACTTTTTATTTTTAGCCCAGAGTCCTAAAGTTGTTGCTACCATTATACCTAAAGACTCTGGGTTCGAAAACTAAAAAGTTAATTTGTTTTCCCTCTAGTAGTCCAAAAGCTTTTTTATATTTTAGAGTTCCTGGATACTAAAATCTAGGAAGAAATAATTTTTTTGTGGCTTATAAACCAGAGTCTTTTTTGGAACTCCACATCCTTGAGTAAAGTTTAACAAATAGAGTTAGAGGGTTTTAATAAGCTCAGGGTGGGTGGGAAAATTTTCTTGAAAATTATGAAAGATCAACTTCTGTTTATTAAGCACTTAGGAGTACCAAAATTTTTTCAAACTTTGCCTTGGATCATCATTAATCCACCATTTTGAAAAATGGTTTTGGTCTGTGTTTTTGTTCTGTGTGCAACGGAAAGCTGAAAATGTGTACACTTACATATTTTAATGCAAGGAATCCAATAAAACAACATAAAATATTTAAAAATAAACATAACAACTCTAATTTTTGCCTTTGTCGCAATTTTACTGGGCGTGTTTATTTGCAAAAATGTCAATATAGTTTGATGATTGACTTTATTTTTTAGAGTGATGCTTTGAATAGTTTCAATTTAGATCATAATTTCTGTTTTATAATTAACAAATTTAAATGTATTTGACCATGTTTTGTTTTTTGTTTCAGAAAAACAACTTTTCAATTCTATGTAACAACTCTAAACATAACTGATTTAAACATTGAGCATAACTGATTTTTCAATAGCAAACTGTTAAGAATATATATATATATATATATATATATATATATATATATATATATATATATATATATATATATATATATATATATATATATATATATATATATATATATATATATATATATATATATATATATTAGGCTTGGTCGGGAAGGGGGAGCGACTGCTCTCGATTGCTGACCACGTAAATAATATTTAGTTGCGAAAAGCTGGCTAGATTTTTTAGTCGTTTTGAGAGCATTTTAAAAAGCAAAAAAAAAAGCGTGTAAGATTAATTGGACCGATGAGAGACAATTACAAAAGGTAAATAAAATATCTTTAAACGCGAAAAAACTTAAAGCTAAATAAATTACGTTTAAAACAAATATTTTCAAAACATCGCTCTTTTATAATTTTTTTCATAAAATTAAACAATGTTTTTTATATAAAGTAACAACTTACGATTGTTTAAAAATTTTTTCAATACCTTTTTTATGTTTTGCGTAGTTTGAAAAGTTTAACATATTTGAAGCAATTCTTCTTAGTAAGATAAACAAATGAAATAATTAAATCATAGAAATTAAATTAACAATATAGAAATCAACTTCAGGTTAACAATACTTTATGACGAGGAAGCGAAATTGCTTCACAATATTGCTGGTGATGTTTAGTGAGTGGGCTTTTTAGTTTTAATTAGTATTTAAAGCAGAAAAAAGTATAGCGAGTTTTTAGAATGGCAACTTAAGCGAAAATAATTAGAGTTAGTAAACCAATATCTAGTAACTTTTCTTTATATCTAATTATTATATATATATTTGTGTTCTGTCGTGATCTTAGGCGCGGTGCATGTTCATCTGCGAGTTACTTTGTACGCATTGTTTGTGTTTAGTAACTAGAAACTTCTTATATGTTTGTTACGTAATTAGTTTTATTAACTATAACGATTATAACTTCATTGAAAACGCAATTATTTTTGTAAGTCTTTGTTTATATCGTAAAAATTGCTTTAAAAGATACATTACAATAAAAAGCAGATAAAAAAAACTAAATTTACATAAAGAATACATACTTTTTAAATAAAAAATAAGAATATACTAATAAAATCTATAATTTATAATAAACTTTTAACATTTTGGCAATTATATATATATTTAAAACTTTTATTTTTGTAAACAAATAATATATTTATTCTTAAAACAATTTATGCTAGAAATCTCAAAATGTAACAAATTGTTTCTAAAAACATTTCAACAGAATACTCTAGAACTTTATTTCGCTAAGTCAGCGTATTTTTTGAACCAATAGAATTAGTTTCTTCATTAATTTGGCGGGTTTTTAGTGTTCGCAAATATTCTTTTTATTCTTTCGCACAATGATATTTTGTGAACATTCAAGTTTATTATGTTTCCATGTATGTCCGTAAAACAAAAATTTTTTGTTTTGTATATAAACTTAAATGTTCTCAAAACGACTTAAAAACCTGGCCAGTTTTTCGCAACTAAATATAATTTCCGTGGTCAGTATACGAGAGCAATTGCTCCCGCTTCCCGACCAAGCCTGATATATATATATATATATATATATATATATATATATATATATATATATATATATATATATATATATATATATATATATATATATATATATATATATATATATATAAATACATACATACATACATACATACATACATACATACATACATACATACATACATACATACATACATACATACATACATACATACATACATACATACATACTGCAATTAGTACATAACTAGAGAACCTAGTTATGTACTAATTGCAGCTAATCATCTCAGATGAGACACATTTTAAGTTGCCAGAGCATGTGGGCAAACTCAATTTGTTAGGGTTTGGTTTTTCATCCTAAGGCCAATATCTAGGTGTGTATATATACACCTATATATTGGTCTTAGTATGAGTAAATGACAAGCAGTAAAAAGCTCCTTTAAAACATAGTTGATTAGGGTTGTTGTCAGTTTTTTACAAAGTTTTTCTATGTAAAAGCCAGACATCTAGCCCTGGTTAACTGCCTGATCTGATTTTTCCTTAAGCTTTTAGCAACTTTAAAGACACTTTCAATGTTTCAAATAAAGTTTTGATAAACAAGGTCATGGATAAACTTAAAAGATTTTGATAAATTATTAGGTTTTTTATATTTTTACAACACTATTTTCTTTTTGCTCTGTTTGTTGGGTGCAGTTTCGTTTGTTTTTGTTTTGCTCTGGTGGTGTTCAGCTTTGTTTTATTTTTACATGGTTTTAACTCTCCAAGTTTTTTTCAGTTTCATACTTGATTGGTTACAAGCTTTAAACATATACAAATTTTTGAAAAATTTTTTATGTGAACAAAAATTATATAAAAAGACATTTGTAATTAAACCTTGCTGAAATGAACTCTTTTCGATTTTTTTTGTAATATTGTTCTACATTTTGATTTATGTTTTTTTTATAGATTTAGTTATAAGTAAGAACTTTATATTATTTAGAGATTTCAAGTTCACCAAACAAAGATACCAATATTTCTTTCAAAAAAGGTATTTATTTTAGTTGCTATTTTCTTTGTTTCCTTTAAAAATTGTAAAAAAAATTTATATTCATTTCATTAAGTTTTAACTTTTACATTAAAACTCCAACTTTTACATTAAAACTCCAACTTTTTTCATTAAATGTTTTAATGTCTACTTACTTCAGTTGCTAATCTTTTTCTAATTAATTTATTTAGTTGCTTATTTTGTTATTGTTGCTAATCATCAGTTTTGTTTATTGTGTTACTGGCTTATGTAAATTTATATCTCATTGGTTGCTTCAAAAAAATCTTTTTTATACAATGCTCACATAATAGTTTACTGATGAATAACAAAAATTTATTGTACTACTAATTTAAGTTTTGCATTTATCAGGGATTTTTTAAATAAATTTTTTTTATAATTTTATAAGGTTGATATAGATAAAACAAAAATTGCAATTAACTGTTTTATTTTATGAAACTATAAATTAGGACTCATGTCGATGGTAATATCATTAACAAAAAGTTTCTTGTCTAGGTGCAGTATTCTTGTTGCTTAAGTTTAGTGACATGATGCTTTAGTTTTGAGATATATTTGAGATATATATAAAGACAGTATCTTTATTTAAAGATTTCTTTGTAGTGGCAAGTTTGACTTTAAAAGTGTTAACACAATAAAATAAAATAAAACGATGTTAATTGGATTCACTAAGTGTGTTATAATTCCTATATGTAGCAGTATCACAATTGAATTCACTAAGTATGTTATAATTTCTATATGTAGCAGTATCACAATTGAATTCACTAAGTATGTTATAATTTCTAGATGTAGCAGTATCACAATTGGATTCACTAAATATGTTATAATTTCTAGATGTAATATTATCACAATTTTTACCAGTTGTAACTCTTAAATTTAACTCAGTTCTAACTTAAAATAGTAATGATAAATATATCTTTATTTTGGTAGCTAACAATAATAAATTCCAGTCCTGTTATGAATATTTTTTTATTGTTTAACATTTATGACTTATCTAGATTTGGAATAAATAAATAGACTATTGATTTTGTTGGTGGTTTTAAAGGCATTAATTACCAAAGTGACACTTTTATATATTTTCAGCCTGTAAAAAGTTTATTAATAACAATCCTTTGTAAATGTCCATTGCTCTAAAAGTGTTCACTACTCTTAATGATTGGTTAGTAAGTACGCTTGCAATTGAACTAGAACGAGTTAAAAAAAAAAATTATTAAAAGTTATCATTTTAACTCATTTGAAGCTTTTTTTCTGTAAACAATACTTTATGACATTTGTTTTGGGTTATTGTATCATCTAGACCATGACACCCTTACGTCTCAGAATTTGTTCATTTTTACCTCACTTGCAGTCCATATTTAAAAAATAATATTTGCAAAAATTTTAGTTAAAAATACACATGGGTTCCAGAGATTTTGTCAGTTAAAATAATGCTAAATCAGCATTTTAGTGATTATCTGAAGCAACTTTGACATATAGTAACTTCATAATGGCTCAGGGAAGTTTCCTAAAATTTATTACCCTAATAGATTTTTACTGGCGGAATCCAAATGACTTGTAAATTCATGATATTTGGAGGTAAAATGAAGACTGTGGTCTAAAATCTTGAATAAATAGTTTAATTGCATATCATTATTATATCTTAGGTCTACTGAATAAAATTAGATTCATCAATTGTCTCTCTAATACTTGATCAAAATTTGCGTTTAAAAATTTTGTCTTTTTAGAAAAATTTTAATTTTGTAGCAAAAGCAATTGAAATGTTTTTAATATCATTTGTTTGAATAAAAACATCAAATAGTGTTATTTATTGACTAGTTTAGGACATTTATAGTCATAGGCCAAAGAAAGGGCCAGGGGGCCTCTGACTAACTCTGCCCTCCCCCCAATCTCCCTGTATTTTTTTTTTATTAATTTTATTGATGCATTAAATGATATAATAATAAATAAAATTTTAATAATTATTTATTACTATATCATTTAATGCATCATTTATTACTATATCATTTAATGCAAAAAAAAGTTTAAAAATATTAAATAAATCCAGGGAGACTGGGGGAAAAAGGCAGAGTTGGTCAGAGGCCCCCTGGTCCTTCTTTGGCCTATGATTATAAATGTCTAGTCAATAAATAACACTATTTAATGTTTTTATTCAAACAAATGATTTAAAAAGCATTTCAATTGTTTTTGCTACAAAATTAAAATTTTTCAAATGCAAATGCAAATTTTGATCAAGTATTAGAGAGACAATTGATGAATCTAATTTTATTCAGTAGACCTAAGATAAAATAATGATATGCAATTAAACTATTTATTCAAGATTTTGGACCACAGTCTTCATTTTACCTCCAAATATCATGAATTTATAAGTCAATAATTTTGAACAAAATTAGATAAACAAGGCATTTCCTGAGATAATCGAGTCTTGAGGGTGCTCTTTTTGGATTCCGCAAGTAAAAATCTATTCGGTACTAAATTTTAGGAAATTTCCCTAAGCTATTATGATGATACTATATGTTGCATTGTAGTCGCTTCAGATAATCACTAAAATGCTGATTCAGTATTATTTTAACTGTCAATATCTCTGAAACCTATGTGTATTTTTAACTAAAATTTTAACAATTAACGTAATTTTTAAATATAGACTGCAAGTGAGGTAAAAATGAACAAATTCTAAGACGTAAGGGTGTCAAAATTATTTTTATTTTTTTGATGATTTCATATGGAATTACCCTGCAATAGTAGTGTAGTGGCACTTTTGAAATCAGGTTCAATGATTACATCATTTTTCAGCAAAAATACTTTGAAGGTTTTAATATGCACATTTTGGAAAGCAGCTATAAAAAATTTTAAAATAAAATTTTGTTCATAAAAATTTTTCAAGCACAAATATTTTAACAAAAAACAACTTTATTTTAGGTTTAAACTGAGTTTTATATTCATTAATTCTCATAGTTGCTAAAATATAAAGAAGCAACAATCTTTTTTAATTAACTTTTTTTAAACTAGTTTACTCCAACTAGGCTGCAGGCAACTACTTATATGTTGGGACCTCAAGAAAACAAAAATATTTTCAAAATGCAAAAAAATAGTTGACATATTATTCAAAAAAACGTTAATTGTATCTACAGGTAACGGTTTACAATTAACAAATAGTCAAGTTTTTTATAGTAATTTATAAAAAAATTGATTAAAGTTAAGTTATATAAAAATGCTGTTTTATTAATTCTTAAGCATCATTTTTAAGTTTCTTTAATATTAATTTTTATATAATTTTTTTTTTTATCTGCATTATTATGACCTGATTTCCTAAAATGACCCGGTTTTTATGACATTTTGAAAAAACATTCAGCCTAATAAAAAAAAAAAAATAATAATAATAACAAAAAAATGAAAATAAATATTTATAATACGTTTTTGATGCAGTATTCAAAAAATGTACTTGTAATGCTGAAATAAGAAAGTAATATTTTCAAAATCATTAAAACAACAAGTTTATATAACCCAATTTTTGGGCCCTCAAAACACCACCATTTTTTTCTTATAATAATTTTAGTTACTTAAATGCTTACATGTCAACAAAGATCTTGAAAACAACAGCAACATGTAGAACTATAATTTATTATTGTGTAGTTAGTATCTCTACTACAGCTCTTTGTCTCAACCCTGTTGTCCTTAATATAAACTGATGAAAGCTACAAGTACTAGAATTAGAAAAATTCATTCAAGGCTTCTGTGAGAACTTTTTCTGTGAGAAATTGTATAAACAATTTTTAAGTAATTATTTTTTTCAAGATTGATAAAGATTGACTGAGGAATTGTGCACCACTTTGAAAACAAATTTTCATCTAAGTAGAACAATTTCTAAAATTAAAAGCTATCTTCAATTTAAACCAGAATCTATAGATAATAATAGCTTTAAACAAACAAGTGAAGATGCTAATTGAACAGGTATTTTTTATTTTTCTGACATTCAATGTTTCAATCTACTTAGCAAATAAACATTAATACATTGAAATTTTACTGCAAATTTGGTAAATATATTGGTTGAACAGTATGAAATTCAGCATCCTTTAGTCAGTAATAACTCAACTACTTCAAAAATTTTTTTGATTTATTTTCACACGGATGCTAATTCATTGTGGTTTAACTTTAATGGCAAAAAAATCATGGGATAAGCATTTTTTACCGAAAAAAAATCATCACACTGTGCAAGCGTGCATTCTTTGTTTCTTATTCTTTTCCATTCTTTGATTTATTCCTTTTCTGGCATACTTCTGGGAATTTCTTTGTCCAAAAAAATTTTTTAAAACATAATTTTTTAGATTTTTTAGACATTAAATCTACCATGTTCCTTAAATGTTTACCTGCAAATGTTAGCCATAACAAGGTAATTAGTTTATAATAACAATAATAATAATGATTTTAAAAATCATTATCATTTTTGTGACTTGACTAAAATAAGTTTTTGAAGATAAGGAAATCTGACATTCTGCCTTTAATTATATTTAACGTTTTTGATGTCAGTTTAACCTAATGGTACCTTATGATATCCTCTTATGAACCTTTTGATAACTTCATATGAACCTTATTATAACCTTCTATTAACGTTATGATAACCATGTGATAACATCCTATGAATCTTATGATAACCTCCTACAAACCTTATGGTAACCTCCTATTATCTTTATGATAATCTCCTATGAATCTTATAATTTCCTTTAAAACTTGTTATGGCCTCCTATAAACCTTATGATAATATTTGATAGCTTGATGTTAATGTTTTTAAAGTTGTTGTTCATCTTTTTTTTTTTTTCGGTTTTGCTAAAGATCGGCTTAATTTAATATTTAGTAAGAAATTCATAAGTGATTCATAAGAGATTTAATAAAATTCATTAGAGATTTAATAAAAAATTGCAAAACATTTTAGTAAAAAAAGAAAGTTTTTATAAGTAATAAGAAGGTTTCAATAACTTTAAAAAGTTATAGCTAAAAAGTTTAACAATTTTAGGTATTTACATTTATTAATCATCCACAGGGTAAATTATTATAAAGTTACATTTTTGAAAAGAAGTAAGTTTATCTTGGAGTATTTACTTCAATAATATCTTTGAAGATTTTCTTTTGCTCCAATGAGTTCCAGAACTCAATTGCATAGCTTAACCTTTAAAGATCTGTTTTAGGAATTTATTTATTGACACAATAACTTTAATTTTTTTTTGTTTTTTCTTTTGCATTAAGTTCTCTAGATAAGGTTAATTTCGATTGCATAAACCTATGACTTCATCTAAAAAAAGGTACCTTGCAGTTTGTTTTTGAACTTTATGTTTAAGTGAGTCTTAATAACAAATAAAAAAGTTCAAATTGATTAAAAAAAATTGAATAACAATTTTAGTAAGAAATTCTAAAATTTAAAAGAAATTTAGTAAGAAATTTCTAAGAATTTTCTTTAAAACAAAAACCAGTTTTTTTATAAATAATATTAATAAATAAAAAAATTTGTATTTGAACTGACAACTTTATGCTTAAGTAAGAAACGATAACAAATAAAAATGTTTGTCAAATACAATAACATTAACGCAAATAAAAATTTTGGTTTTAAATAACTTCAAATCAATAAAAATCAATTTCACAAAAAATTATGATTGTGATGATGACTTAATTAGAAATCGTTTTGTTTTATTTAGATTTGTTGAGGATGTCGGCTGAACTGAAAAAATTTTATCTTAATTATTATGGGAAAATTGGTGAACTTCAACCACTATTAAAAGCATCTGCAAATGTTGATCTCATACACAAATTTATTGATCTATGTATTGTTGATGCAGTGAATGCTCAAATAGACGCTTATTTCAGTGTTGAACGAGAGGAATTTCTTGAAAAGCAAATTTGTTATACACCAATTTCATACAGTGATATATTTATGAAAGAAAAACCAGTAATATTAATATCTGGAATAGCTGGTATTGGGAAAACATGGTTGCTTAGAAAATGTTTGCTTGATTGGTCAAATGATTTAATTTGGAAAAATGTTGAACTTGTTTTCTATTTGGAATGCAGGAGAATTAATCAATATCCATATATTTCTAATATCAATGATTTACTAAATGTGTTCTACAAAGATATTGTAAACAACTTTAATATTAGTAATCATACTGCACTGTTTTTAATTGATGGATTAGATGAGTTTAAGTATTTCAATGAATTGTTAAACCCAAGTTTGACTTGTAACTATCCGATTGTTAATGCTTTAGCAGAAATTCAAAAATACAAATACATAATTGCTGGTAGAGTTTATGCGATAGATCAATACCAAAGTATATCTACAGAACATAGTGATAAGTTAACCATTCAAGTAATGGGGTTTAATGAAAATGGAATAAATAATTATGTAGAAAATCATGTTGTAGAAGAAAAAAAAGAATTTGTAAAAACAACTTTAAAGGAGTCTTCAATTGCAAAAGCCATGGCATCTGTTCCGTTTTATTTATCTTCAATGTGTAAAATTATAAGTGATTCAAAAAAAATAGAAACAAATTCTTTCTTAACAATGACAGATTTGTATACAAATATTTTTTTATACTTTTTGCGAAAACATATCATAAAAAACAATAAACTGATATATGAGATAATGGAAGACAGTTCCAATAAAAAGTATATTTTAAATATTTATAAAATTGCATATAAAATGTTTGTTAACAATAAAATAATTTTTTCCAAAGATGAAATTCAAGCTTTTATTAATGACTTTGATAAAAATGAAGGTAATTTCTTTGGATTTATAGAAAGGATTGAAACAGATCTTGGTTGTTATTATCAATTTGCACATTTGACAATAATGGAGTTTTGTGCATCTGTATATGCATATAATTGTTTAAGTAGTGATGAGATTATGGCCAATGAGAGGCTGATTAGTTGTTTATCAATGATCTGTGGATTAGCCAATAAAAACCCAAATAGTTTATTAAAGTTTCTTGTTAACCTGGATTCTTCAAAAAAATCCTATAAAGAATCTTCACTTTTGTTTTCTATTTTGGGTAAGTTTACGAACTTTGTTGCATTTTGGTAAGCCTATTTTAGATATTCATTCAGGTGTTTACTAAGTTGTGTACTAATATAGAGCAGTGGTTCCCAACTCTGTGCCTCCATGCACAATAGCGCCCGGGAAATGATTTGTATGTATCTGCCACTATAAGGGAGTGAAATTTTTCATAAATATTAATTAAAATGCTAAATACTTTTATTTATTTGATAACGTTTTAGTTATTTTAATTGCCTAGGTTTATTAAATGCATTCATATATTTTCAATATTGTATGTATGACTGCTTCCTTTGCTGACAGTACTTGTCGCAATTTGTTTCATTGCAAGCCATATGCTATCCTGTGTGGGAGTGCTATTAGCACATCAACTTGTTCATGCAGGAAACCTGAAGTAGTCACATGTATGTACTGTCCTGATTAAAAATAGGTAGTGCTTACCACCCTTTCGATATTTTAGAATGTTTTATAGAGTTCAAAAAGGTTGAAAACCCCTGATATAGAGCTTTTTTACTTTATTTTTTTTTACAAGAGATTGAATGGTTAAAAATATTTTTTTTCATTTATGTTTAAGAATATTAAGCAAGTTTTCTAAAAAAATTCATCAAAAAAATTCTTTATCTAATATGACAACAAAAATAAATAAATTCATTGTGTGACCCTTGCTTGCTTTATAAATGCTGGAGGTTGTTGTTATTGTGGTTTTGGTTATTTTTAGATAAGACTTTTTATTTATTCATTTTTTTTTGGAGGAAGGCAGGGTTTTTTTTTTTTTTTTAATTAAGTTAACCAATAGTTTCTTCTTAAAGAAACAAAACATAATTTAAAAATTCACAAACTGTTTGCATAATCTTATATATGTATACCAAGCTGTTCAAAGGGTGAGTCACCCAAGCAAATTGCCGCGGACCCTATGGGGGCCCCAACAGCAGCAATAACATTCCGGGTTTTTTTCCTTCTTTTTTTTTCCACATCAATAGCATTAAGTTAAATAGTAATAAAATAGCTCATAAAATTTAATGAAAATTGTCGCAAAAAAAACTCAATATCTAATACTTCTTTTTTAAAAATAAGTTTAGTGTTGCGTAAGTTATTTATGATCTGTTAAGGGGCTGTCCATAATTGTCAACAAAATAGGAGGAAGGATCAAGGTCTGAATTTTTTTGACATTGGTTGACAAGTGGAGGTCAAGACAAGTTGACATCAACAATGTTACTTTTTTTTTTTTAATTTAGTTACGCTAAAAATGAAAAATTAGGCAGTTTGCAGTTCTGTGTTACATACTTGCTAACCTTCAGTATTTTAATAAAGCTAGTTGTATTCCTCCTTTTTCAAAACCGTGTTGTGCTTTAAAAAAAAACCGACACTAAGTGTTTCATTACTTAAAATTTTTCGAAATTAGTCATGTTACATGCACAACGGGGTAAATAATGAGTTAAAAAAAAGTCTGTAAATTTTTTAAATGTTTCAAAATATCATCTAGAGGTCGTCGTCTTAAAAATGAAGCGTTTTTTACTCTTTTTTTTTAACTTTAAATTTAATTTAAACATAAAATGACGTTAATTATTAAAAAATAATTAATTTTTCAATATGTTACTTGGTGTATGTAATAAAGGTTATTAGATGAACATTTGGCTAAATTTTCAAAAAAATAGGTAATGTCTAAATAAATAATTTCTTATTATGCCGTATTATAAAGTTTAATTTTTTTAACATATTTTTTTGCTAAAAAATTCTTTAAATGCTTCAAAAAACTTAATACTTTAAATAAAATGCAAAACTTAAGTTTCGAGCATAATTGACCACTAAACATTGTTGCATGATTAAATAGTTTGCAAAATAAACATCTGTATGTATATAAATTTCATAAATTTATTTAAAAAAAGTTGGTTGTTATATTAATTAGCAAAATTGAAATTTTAAAAATAATTTTAAAACTAATTTATTGGATAAGAAAATATTTTATTATAACAATGAACGTTAGAAAAATAATCAAGATAGTTTAATTGGTTACCCTGAAACCAATAAATTATCAAGCTTTGTAGATACTCTCATTTACATTTATATTCAAAAAACTTCTGCAAGAGATATTTTTAAACTTGTTTTTGGTGAGCTTAAGGAAGTTTGGAAAAAAGCTGCAATACCAATTTGATTAGATAATTTTTATCATTCATTGCTTACCCAGTTATTGGGGGAAAAAGTGAAAATAAAAATACTTGATCAAGCAAGTTGAAATTTTAAAGCTGGAAAAGAAAAAATTGTCAGATTTTGTCATAAACTTGAGCAACTTTTTAATAAGTTGATAATATCACGTAGACCAAAATGGAAAGTATAGCAAATTAAAACTTTGTAATTGCAACTTTTGGCTGTTCTGTCTCATTAGGTTGCTTTCAATTTTTATTTAGATAAATATTGCTGAAAAATTGTTGACGTATATAATAGACAGCCTCTAATCCTGGTTTGGAAGATCTTCTGTTTATGCAAGTTTTGGAAAGATACCTTTTGCCCCATTTGACTTATTAAACAAAATTTCTGTAATGAAACTTGAGGAACTCTTAAGAATTGTAGTGATTGCTTCAATTCCAGTGACAGTGGCCTCAAGTGAGCGTTTATTCAGTAAATTAAAGCTCATCAAGAATCTTTTGTGCTTAACTATAGAACAAGAACAAACAAGTGACCTTGCCATCTTGAAAAATTTAGGCGGGTCTTTTTTTTTTTGGAGTAAGGGTCCCATAATTCCTGGGCATGGCCCTGTATATATAAATCCTTCAAAATTAATTTAACCCATAATTAATTAATTTAACCCTCTTATATATTTTCTTATATGAAAATATGTTTTTTTTGGACAATATATCTTTTTAATTATTGTAGATAAATATTAGATAATTTGTAGATAAATATAAATAATTATAGAGTGTTTATTACAATATTTTGTTTTTGATTTAGTACATATAAATGTTTTATAAAAATTGTTCATAAGATAAATTTATGTCTTGAGTTCACTTTTATGACGATTTTATCAACTAACTTAAATTCTTTTCTTTGCATGAAATAACTTTTAAAATCCATTCAACGAGAAGTTTAAATTTTTTCCCTATAGAAAATGTTGCAGTATACCTACACTGATAAACATTTTGAGAGCAAAATTAAAAATTACATTGGTAATAACAAGTGTTAACATTTGTAATAACATTTAGAATAAATAACTTGAAAACAATAAATTTTCTAAAAAAAAGTCATTATCAGGTAGTTTACAAATTTTATTCAAGTTTTTATTTTATATCTAGTTTTTATTTGTGTAATTTTGTATTTTGTATGCTCAATTTAAATATTTAAAGAATTTTATGGTTTAAATTTTTTCTATAAACTACATTGACTTTAAACAACATAAAATTAAAAATAAATTCCTTGAAAAAATTTTTTTTTATTGTGAAACTTTTTATTTGTTATGTTCATTTCTTATATTAGCTACTTCAAAGTATTAATTTATATATATATATATATATATATATATATATATATATATATATATATATATATATATATATATATATATATATATATATATATATATTTATATATATATATATATATATATATATATATATATATATATATATATATATATATATATATATATATATATATATATATATATATATATATATATATATATATATATATATATATATATATAAACATTAACACAAAAATAAAAATGAATTCCTAAACAAAGAAATTTTTAAGTTAAAACTATTTAATTATTTTTTTTTTTTGTTTCTTATTTTGCTACTGCAAAGTATTAATTTAACATCACTATAAAAATCATGAAATGGTTTTCAATTTAAAATGGTTTTATTTATTTGGTTTTTTTATTATTTTACTTGTTGTAAATAACATACCTTGTATTTTTTAATCTCAAATGAGATTTTAAATAATTTTATGTGCAATACTAGGTTATTGGACTGAAGATGAACCATTGTACATGAAGTTAACAAAAACAAATTAAAACACATTCCCAGTTTGCTTGTTTTTTATTAAAAAAGCCAATCTTATAGTATAAACAAAAATATCAGATTAAGGTTTACTCTATTTTGACCTTTTTATAAGTAAAAGTAAATGCGTAGTATTTTGAGAAAATAATACATCAACTAAGGGCCTAATAGTATACATGAAGGTGTAAGCATATCCGAACTGTGTATTATGTTGAACATCTAAGAGTCTAACTTTTGATCTTTGTCTTGTGAAAAGTCTTATTTTTGGTCTTGGGTTGACTTTGTGATGCCTTAGTCTTGATTTTTGTCTTAAAATCTTATGTCTTGGTCTTGAGCAATAATTAATTGGTCTTAGTTTTGGTCTTAGCTTTAACTGTCTTGACAACATCTCTGGTACTTAGAAGACATACTTTATCATTTAGATTTAAAAAGCTATAGTTTTGCAGAATATTGTTATATACTCAACAAACTATGCAAGCATAACATTACACACTCTGCAAGGCAATTATAACAATTTTTTTTGTTGCTCTTTACGGGATTAAAAATAAAAATAAAGTTGAAAATGTTTTTGCTAAACATTTAACCCTGAAACTCGGATATTGTATTGCAAACAACAATTTCATCAGCATTCAGTATATAAAATGTTTGTTATCAACAGAAAAGATTTTTTATTTGTTCACTTATTATTCTGTTATTGCTTGTTTTTTTTTTAAAAAGTTTTCAGCAGCTTTTGTAGAAGAAGGTAAATAAAAGTAGATAAATCTCTTCTTTTATTTACCTTAGCCTTAAAATTAAATCTTTTGTATTAATGATGTCATTTTTTACTTAAATGTAATAGAAAAGAATATTTTTTCTTAAATTCCTTCTCCTTCCTTCCCATTTAAGTATGTTTTGACCAAAGTTTTTTTCTTTTTTGCAAATCTGTGAAAAAGGCCAGTTCTTGTACACTGCTCAATTATAACAATAAAATCTTTTGGTATTTCAGTTTTTTTTTCTAACTAAC